TTCATACATGTGCCAACATAAATTACCAGTTTTTTGTTTCTTTTTCTTTGTTTTCAAATTCTGTTTTTCTCCTGCAGGTAAACTACAATAAAAGTAGAAAAGATGTCAATAATTTTATTATTCAAAATTGCACTATTCAAATGTCATTTTGGATCAACAAACATTATCCTGTTAAAGCACACCATTAAATCACCATAAATATAAATGACATCTTATGTTTTAGCATTATTTGTATTTCAGGTATTTATTGGTCAAAATTCTATCAATTTACTGCACCAATTAACACACTCCCTAACAACTCACTGGTATAATATACCACCTGACATGTTGGCAGAACACATAAAAAAAGCTTTTAAATCCTAAGCTGAAACTGAGGAATTTACATGTGTTTACATGTAACATTTCTCATCTTTGCCCAGCATTTATAACCTAAGATTAGTCATGAATCCAGCCATTAAACTGTAACAATTTTCACTTACATAGACTGGTCACCATCTGGTGCTTGGAAATAGGAATCTGAAACTGAGGAGAGTAGTACACAATCATGACCACGTGTTTTCTAATTTTTTACAATGCACCGGTATGCAATGTTACGACTAAGTCAGCTTGACTACAGAATATTGTTTAGACCTTCATCAAGCAGATGCTTGTGGGACAGAACTGCTTTTTTTGAAGTGTCCTTATCTTCTTAAAAGGGGTGTGGGTGCACGTGGGTGCAGCTTTCCCTAAGTTTGGAGAACAAAAAGGGGGACTAGCTGGTGTTCATTTACAAAAGGATGTACGTTCTATATTCAATCTACATGTTCTTATAGAGAGTTTCACTGTGATTCAACTTTCAAATTTTCAAGTGCTTTAGGGAGATGTGGAGAAATGGTAAATCAGAGAAATCATTGTTATCTTTTAAAGTAAGTCAGAACAAGTTTCTTTACCTGATGAGAAATCAAAAAGTTGTTGCTTGATCTGAGGTGTAGATAAGTGAGATGATGGAGGTGCAGCATACAAACCATCCTCCCCTAAAAAACTTTTAAACTCCTCTCCAGGTCTACCAATCTGTTGTTGTTCCAATCTAGGTTCAACAGCTTCTCTCTCATGGTCCAACAAGGTTTCTTCATGGGATCTTCTATGTACTTGGGTATTGAACAAAAAAAAAATTCATTTTTGTAACTAACAATATCATCATACATCACATAGTAGTTGAAATAGATAGTTTACAATTGAATATTTTACCAATCAATACTCCTTCCAATAGTTTTAACGATCATGATGACTGAGTTTCATGTGACACTTTGGACTTAAATTCACCAAAAAGACAACCACTGATATTATCTGGAAGAATATTCATTGAAAATATTCTCTTAAATTAATGATTTTAAGATTTATTCCAAAAGTAGGAAAAATAAAAAATTTTAAGCTGGGTAGGGAGACTCATTACAAGCTTGTTCATTGGCCACTTGTCTTTCCTTAAAGATAAAACTGACAAAAGTGTCAGGAGCACTATGGACATCATAAAACCTCAGACCTCTTCCTTCTTGAGACATGAATTTACTAAGATATTTTAAATAAAATGCATCAAAATGTGATCTAATTTTTAAACAATCCAAATCACCAGGATCATCCTTCTGCTCATTTGTCATAATTATCAGCATTATAAGCCTCACAATGGACTTTATTTTAAAAAATACCAAAAAAAAAGCATAGGATAGCATACATATAGTTGCTACAGCTTAGATGTGATTTAGACAGTCTTGTCCCTCTGCATAAATAATACAAGTGTGGAAATCATCTACTAAATGGTACAGGGTGATGATGTTAAAAGTGGTACAGTGATCACTATTCCATTAGACTGGTATTCACTTAGAGCAGAGTTGGAATAATAAGAAGTGCAGAGAGTACCATAAAAAATACTGATGCCCCTTACGATTCAGTTCCTTAAGATCCAGTGAAACTGATCTGTCAGAGTTGTCAGAGTCATAAGCCATCAGATGGTCTTAGAATTCTCAATGTGATTAGTAAGTTTTTCCAATTCTGCTTGTACCTCTAAAATCTGGTTTTCAACGGATCATAAGAGTAAGAGTAAGAGTCATTACTGGGCACAATCGGAATAAAATAAACAATTCCAATGTTCTTTCAAGGCCAATTCCATTGAGCTTGTGAATGATTTTTTTTCCATTTTCACTGGTCATAAGTGCTTTTACCACTCCAACTAAAACTCTGAGTCCAAATCCATTGCCAGTGAAAACAAGCCTTTAGAGAACCTTTCATGCAGTTTATTGTTCCAAGAGTTGAAAAGCTTTGAAGAATTTTATTCTGTGGCTAATAAGAAGACAACATAACTGAGGTTTGAGTAACATTAACCAAAACTTTACCTGGACTACTGTGAGGTAAATCTTTCTTTCTTGCACTGGATTCAAGAAGATTAACTTTTGGTATACCAGCTACTTTAACTTTCCTTCCTTCTTCTAAACTGCCAGTAACATCAGTTAAGTTGTCTGATCTTTGAATAATAACTGAGTTTTCTAACATGCTTCTGTCTCTTCCTAAATGTCGAGGAGAATGGCACACAACTCTCACTGGAGACTTAACAATTCCTGTAACAACTGGTACTTCAGCAAGATCAGGGCTCTTATGCTGTCCACTTGCATCCACCAAAAGAACAGGTGAGGTTTGTTTTGATTCTCTCTCTTCAACATATGTTGGGTCAGGGACATGCCTGGGATATAACCACAACAAAAAGTTGAGAATGCAAAAACATTATTTCAAATTGTCAAACAGCCATTTTCATACAGCCTCCCTACAATCTGACCTTAAACCTTAGAGGGTCTTTCTTCAAAACAAAGAGAACTCAAGACAAAGAGTGTTGCACCCCCTAAAATGTCTCCTTTGAAGAGCCTCCCTCCTTTTGCCCCTCAGTGGAATGTTATTGTAAGATCATTGTTATTTGAAATCTAATGTATATACTCAAGCTTGTGTTTAGATCAGGGATGGAAAAGTAAACATGAAATTGAAGTGATTTGCTCAGTACTTTGATATAAGTGAAATAAGTTTTTACTATATTCCCGAATAGGCTTTCCTAAACTTCTAAAATACCTTAAGCTTAGGCTTTCGTCCTATTTAAGTGAGAGCCTTGGATTTTTGTACAGTATTTAACCCTTAAACTCCCAGAGGAGATCAGCATGCATGTCAATTCTCACAATTTCACTTTATTAGCCAAAACTACAACAACAGACGAACTCGCCCACTGAAAAATAGTGTTATCCTAATAAAACAACACATGTAACTCTTTCAAATTACATACAATAAATACGCATAAGCTAGAGGGGGAAATGAACACAAATATGTAGGGAGTTTAAGGGTTTTGATCACTCAAAGACAGCGATTTTAAATATGATCTGCAGCGACAACGATATAGTTAAGAAGAGCTTAATAGTTTCCTTTACATCAAGAAAAGTTCTCATACAAAAGAAAGAGATTGAAACTTCCTGAATATTTAAACCAATCTATTAAATAACATAAGCTTACGTCGAAAAAGGTATTGTAGATCTCGATGCACTTGATGGAAAACCAGTGACAGGCTCTGTATTAAGAAAACCTTGGGCAAGCGATTTCCTGTGGAAAAAAAATCACAACAAACACGCAATTTCCACGCGTTAAAATAAAGAAATCACAAACTTAAGACAAAAAATATAGGAATTAGTTAAGACATTCAGTACCTTATCTGCGGTGGAGGCGTTTGCGAAGGCGCTGGATTGTACAAAGATCGCTTAGAATTCGCCGCCATCTTTAATATTAGCCAAAACAAATCTCGCGCTCATTCGTACCCAATCCCCTTTCACTAAACGACTCTATGTCGTCGTAGGAGGATAATAATTATTTCTCAGTCTATGCTGGTCAAATTAGTCAAATTACTGAGTTGGTTCGGAAATATTGAAGTGCTTACCAGTGAATTAGCAGAGGCTAAAAAGACCTAACCACAAGAAAGAAACTGTTTTCAGAAACATGTACCTTGTTTTTAAAGAAAAGTGAATGCATAGCAAGTCCCTGAATGGTAGACCTCTTCTTCCCATCCTGGTACGATAGTCTTACTTGCTTGGAAAAGATGGCCCTATCCAATTTACAGTGGGATTTTTCTCGAATGTGTTAAATTTTTTGCTGTAATCTTTTTTTTAGCAATTTAGTAATGGGGGGGGGGGTAGCTTTATAGAGGACTCACATCCCATCAAGAGGAGGGAAGTAGTAATACTCTTCATTGCTTCATCTTATGAAAGCTGGGATAAGCTTCAGCTGAGTGGACCACTTGACTCAAGTACATAAATTTTCATTGACAACGGTTAAAGATATTTGTTCTATATTTCTTTGGGTTTCTATAAACCTCAACTTTGTCTCACCCACCAGTAGAGTAACATCACTTACCCTGTTCCCACCATTTTGACCCATGATCCATTTATATTTTCTGTGGTAGATACATACCAAGATCCTCCATACTAAGAGGAAGTTGCCTATGTGCACACTACATTTGGATCCAATAGGAGCAAGATTTCCTACCATAACTGAAAGAAGTTTCCTGATCTTCTTGCACACTTTACTGTATTGTGGCTTTCACTGAGCCTGGGTGCAAATTATGGACTCTAAGATGAAACCTCTATAATAAATACACAAGCCCAAATGGCAGATTTGGTTAATATGTTTATTTAATATCATGATAGTTTTATGGCCATATTTATTTCAAATGTACCTAACTGCATAGGTCTCCACCCACGTGCAAAAGTAGGAAATAGGAAATGAAAAACTTGGGTGGTGATTATCAGAGAGAAAACAAGATTTTCTTGCCTTCCCTTAGTGAGATTTTAGTTAATTGACATAGGTTAGTCAGGACTGCATTGGCTTTTTTGTTTCCACACTGAGCTTGATGAAAAAAATCTGCATCACCCTCCCAGCCAATAGAATGTAAAAAAAAAAAAATTTATTTGGTCACCTGCATTTCAATTGCTTACAACATAACATTTACAATAACTTTGCTATTTTTCATAAGAAGTTTCTCTTTTGTTCTGATTGCTTGCTGAGAGTAATTTAGTTTTGATTGTTTTCAGTAGATGAGTTTTCTATGAGTGCTCTATATGAACTTCCCTACTTGGTGAGAGATCAAGGCAAAAGGAATGACTACTCTTGATACCATCAGTTAACTCAGGTAGACAAATATCCACAAAAAAATATAGCGTACATTCATTTAAAAGGTTTTGAATCATCCATCCTCTTCATCTGCTTTTTTATTTGTTACAGAGCAATGTGAGAAGTCCACTGAATTTAAGTGAGGATTTTGCTTCCTTGCTAAAACCAGGACAACAAAGGAAAATGAGAAAATCTCTTCATCCTTTTGGACATATGTAATTTGAACAAACACAGAAAAACCAAACACCTCTCCTTCTGAGTGTGACTGAAAAATTAGTAAGGTAATTGAATTGCCAGAGTGAAATTACATTCACTTCTTCATAATCTGAATAACATCTTCATCATTCATAGTATGATTGATTCCTACACGCTGTGGGCTATATTTGGTGCTGGTACCCCATACTAAAGCATATTTAAACATATCTACTAGTGTTCTGTGAACAGCATGGCACACATGTTCCACAGTAGCTCCACGCCGAAGGATCAGTCCTCCATTAAAGTCAGGTGGATCACCTCTCTTCTTGGTGTAGATTCTGAGCAGTGCAAGATGTTCCCAAACCTGGGTCAACAGGTAATCCAAGTTTAGCTCCATCTCACAGCTAACAACAACAGAATGTGGAAGGCGTGCCAACCGATCAACTTCTTCTATAGAAATACAGTCAATCTTGTTGTAAACATAAACACATGGCAGGTAGATTCTGTTTGCACAAATGACATCAATCAGCTGATCTGCTGTGCAATCTTCTCGTATAAGCACCTCTGCATTGAAGATCTTGTACTCATGGAGAATCATCATTACAAGCTTCTCATCCAGATGGGTGAGGGAACATGTGGAGTTAAAAGAAATACCACCTCCTTTCTTTTGTTTGAAGTAAAGATTTGGCTTGGAACAGTTAAGCCGAATGCCACAGTCCTCCAATTCCTTTTCCAGTAAAACTTTCTGGATCTCCCCTTTAGCAGCATCTAACATCATCACGACCATGTCTGCAGTGCGAGCAACAGCAATAACTTGTCTCCCCCTTCCCTTACCCTGAGAGGCACCCTCTATAATTCCAGGTAAGTCGAGCAGTTGAATGTTAGCCCCATTGTATTCTATCACACCAGGAATACATGTCAGAGTTGTGAACTCGTAAGAAGCACTAACGCTGGTTGTGGATGTTAACTTGTTTAACAATGTCGATTTTCCTACCGAAGGAAAACCGATCAAGGCGACTCTGGCATCGCCGGATTTCATGACATCGAATCCCTCACCCTTACCTCCTCCCGCGGATTTCGAAGGTTCTAATAGTTGCGATCGGTATTTTGCCAATTTCGCCTTCAGCAATCCCAGATGATACTCTGTTGCCTTATTCTTTTGAGTTCTTGCGATCTCCTTCTCTATCTCGCTTATTTTCTCTAGGATTCCCATTCTGGATGCTGGTTAAATGTTTGTCCACGTTGCGTATACTGGATCTATGTTCTTCAAACAAAATGGCGATAAACGAGTCCGCGAAAAATTGCCAGCAGGCTTTTGAAAGATATATGCGCGTAGCTTGCATAAGAACTGCGCAGGAAAGCGCGCGAAATCAGCTAAAAACAGCTCACCTATCATGTGGTGGTAGATTTTTTCCTCAGTTCGGTAGTTTTCGCCAGAGTTGGCGTAAGATATTTATATACATTTTTTCTAAAATCCTTGAAAGTGCTTTCGTCCAGCTGATATGGGTGAAGACGGCCCCTCGGATGACTACGATCCAAATGGAGATCCCAAGGACGATCCCCGGGAAAGAAGGCGAATCCGTCACGAATATCGTGAACTGATCGCCGAGACTCAAAGTAAGCACAGTGCCGTCCTCCTGTTTTTATGCGCATAACTTTACACGTGTCAACGAAAACTGGGATATTGTAGACTGTTTTCCTTTTTTGCAAAGAATGATTTGGGACGATCGTCAACATGGACGAATCGTCTGAACGTTTTCTTAAACATCCCCCAAGAACGACTAGCATCAAATTTCTCCCAACCGTATCACCCCTGAATCAAACATTAAGGAAATGAGAATACAGGAAAAGATCACGGCTGAAAGAAGCTTTTGATTGTCAAATGGTGATACCATAGGAAATGTTTAGATAATAGTAAGGAGAATATGCATGTTTATGTTAGGATGTTAAGGGTTGAGTTTATTTTGAATGAGGCCTTTTACCTTCTTTAATCAACAGAAAATAGACATAATTTTATCAAACCAGAATCAACTGGCTTACATGAAGCACTTGATAAAGCTGAAGGGTTATTTAAGAACGGTAAGATCTTTATAATATGTTAGACAAACCTTTGTGGGATTTTATGTCAGGATATAGTGGGGGGGGGGG